CGCTTCTAATGTGAGATTTTGGCTAGGCGTCAGCAGAGTAGTTGTGGGCTCCTCGATCATAAGCAGCTGTGCGTTGGTAATAGGCGCAGCGGTTAGTTGCTTTGTAATATCAGCATATTGTTGTTGTCTTTGTTGTTGCTGCGGTGGCTGATGTTGAGGCTGTTGAGGCTGCGGCTGTTGCTGTTGTTGCTGACGTTGATATTTTGATTGCAATTGTGGTTGTGGTTGGGTGGCAGTGGCTGCTGAAAGTTGATCTACAAACGACCTAGGGAAAAGTTTCGGCAACGGCACCTGGTTAGCTTGTTGTGGCATGGAGTACAGGAATGGTGCGGAACCAGAAGCTGGTGCAGCATAAGAAGTGTACAGCGTTTTGCTGGCTTGTGGCACTGTGCTTAAATTTTTATTGCTAAACTGTGTTGCTGGTTGAGACATTTTGTTGACCAGCTGTGATTGATATGCCGGTTGTCTGACACTGTTTGAGTTGTAGTCAATCGATTTCTCAGCTGGAAGAAATAAAATATGATTTATTTAAATGCGTATTATTGTATGCTTGTACTCAAAAAGAATGTTAGCTAAATAACTAAAGAAGTATTAAAATAAAACTAAAGGAAACCCGACTCCCGCCCCACCTAATGGCAAACTCTTGTGTGGAGTTATTTCTTTCCATTTAAGTAATATGTATACGTCGTCATATGAAAAAAAAAACAAATCTGATCGTAAATATGGATTTTTCAAATATCTCCTGCGCCCCCTACCGGACAAACTCTTTGTGGTGTTATTTCTATCCATTTGAGTAACATACTTTCTAATCAGAAAAAACTCGGACCAAAAATAGGGATTTTCAAAATATCTCGGCTCCTACGCCATCTATCGGGCAAAGTTTGTTGCGCAATTTTATATATATATTTTATATTATTAATATGTATTCCAAATATGTAGCATACCGTATCATAAATAAATACGAGCGTTTTCTATATCTGGACACCTGCTCCACCTAGCGGTCTCATTCATCATCCATATTGCATAGCTCATCGGGGAGTCAGTTAAAAATGTATTGTAAGATTTTATTACACACAGGAAAACATAGTAAAAGCTGTAAATCGTAACTATAAATAAATCTGACGTTGTCCTTTTGCCTCGGCTTATCGGTTGGATTACAACTTGTAGAGGACTGTAGGAGATATTGGACCTCAATTTCTGATAAATTCAAAATAACCCTAATGTGTGAAGCCTCGCCTAGGTTAGGGTGGTACATAAAGTGTCGTTTTTCACCTATGCATTTTCTTCAGAATTGTTTATTATTTGAAATGATATTAAAACTAAGCTTTTCCGATGCCTGAAAGTCCTGGTATAAACTAGGGCCATGAAACAAGGAATGGTAAAGTGTCAAAAAATATTAAAATTTTTTAAAAGATCATAGTGGGTGATGGTAAGTATAAGCAAAAAATTTAAAAAATTAGAAAAAAATAAAAATTCGTGCGACTTTGATTGATTTGATTTAAAACACCTGGTCTACTGCTACAACCTTTAGGTCCTATTCAAGTGAATCGGAGTGTATGCATTTCTGATGATGTCCGAAGGCCCTACCTCGCCGTTGAACTTGAAATTTAATTTTATCGAAAAGTAAATTTTCTGTTATTTTTCTTTCTTGACATACCACTCTGCCATTTTTTCAGAAAATAAGATCTGATTGGCCGCAGATGTTCGGAAATTAACCACAAATGTGACTACATATACGCTTAACTCCAAAATCACCATTAGCATGCCATTTATGACTTTGAATCTCACAATTAAATGCCTTAATTTTTTCATAAAAAATTCAGCTCTTGTCAAACTTAGCTGGGAGATAAAATCACTTTCGGGGTTTTCATTGAAGCTGTTCACACCTTCCGGGTTATTAGGTTATCTGGTTAAAAATTATTATTCTGTAGTGTAATTTATTTTTGTAAAAAAAAAATAAAAAAATATAACCTCATAACCTAATAAGCAGCCAAGTGTGATCAAACCTCATTATCATTCCTCAATTTGATTTGAAAAAAATAATAATAATAATAATCTGCTTACCATAGCTCTCAGTTGTAGGAGGTGGTAGGTATTCATTATTCCTTTGCTGTGGTTTGATTGGATGATTTATACGCAAAGGCGACACAGTCGCCCCATTAATAAGCCACAAATTTTGGTAACACACGCACATAAATAACAGCAGTTTCACAAATTGAGCCTGAAAAACAGTTCAATTTGGTTTGAATTCACATTTATCAGTTATTCTGTTCAAACATTTTATACCATGATCCCGTCAGATTTGTTAGGAGTTCCGTCGTCCGACTGTGTTACTTATTTTAATTTAACTTTTTTACACTAACTACTCGTAGTTCAATTGAACGTACACGATCCAACAAAGATTTTTACTAAACTAAATTCGCACAATTGCAAAGGTTTATAAATCAAAGTTATATCGTTGCGGCACTTCTTGTCAGTGGAACAATGAGGCAATGCGCATTTACAAACAAACGATTGAGAAAAGTGATCTTCATTTGTCAATTACATAGCGTTACCTTGTCTGCAACACTTGACTGGAGGTAAAACGGCAGCAGCTATAGTATTACAACAGTAACAAGAACTCAATAGCAGTGGCTGCGTTAATGGATCCGTTACTTGCACCAATACAAATACAGCAATTCAACTGAACAAACCACTCAAAGATAATTATAGATCAAGCAAGACAAAAAAAAAAACAGTAGCTGAAAGAAACAATCTAGCAAAAAAATAAATAAAAGTTGAGTTTTACGGCCCTGGCATCCATTCATGCCGTCGACCAACTGGCTCATCAATAAATAAAAGTACATCACCTACGAGTTGGCCAAGCGTAAAACCAAACAACGGCAAACGAGGCAATTTACATTCGATCTTTTTATAGTCGATTAAATTATCAAGAGCAAAATCAAAAGCATCCCCACTTCTTAGAAGCAAGTTAAACTAAAACGGCGCGACGCAGCGGACTGTGCGAACGTTCATTGATCTCACTTCGAACACCGCGTACAACAACCGAGATAATTTAATTTGTGCATGCGTTTCTAACCGAAACAGTTTCTCAATTTACCAGTAGTCGACTGATCCACCAGCTAACACACTGGCCTAGTGTCGATGGATGCTCTGGTTTGTAGTGCGCAAGCGTGAATGGCCCATAGAAATATTGCATTTCAAGTGCGCTGCTGTACAATTATGGGTTATGTTTTGCTACTCATTTTGATGACTAATCAGCCTGTATGAAAGCACTCAGCTAATGACAACAGTTGCACGTTGTTAGTGACTTTCTGTTGGCATTGGATAATTTTGGTCTACTCAAATGACTTACACACTAAGTGCTGCGTTTAAGGCTGAAGATGAGTGGTCACTGACAACAAAAAAAAAGGCCAATACATATATCAGTATGTAATTTTTTCAACTAACGAAATTGGAATTTGAATGCATTAGGGTTTTAGGACATCCAATAATTCCGGATTGTATCTGTGGCGCTTCCTTGTCAAAAGGTAGGTGTACAAGGAAAATTAGAATAATAGGATGATAACCACACCCATCGCGAAATATATTTACTTCATCTGCCATAATAGTTTGAGGTTAGTTCAGGACTATTTCGGGAACCTTCCCGGTCTGGTTCGGGACCATTTCGGTACTAGTTCGGGACACATTTGTTTACATATCAAACTTCATGAGTACCTGCTACTCATGGCTCTTTTTCAGGATTTCACAGTTCTCATAATTGCAAATTTGTAAAGTCTAAACTAAAAATTGTTGATTATTCCTCAAAAAGTGTATTCGTGATACACTTTTGCAAATACTTTCAACTAAGATATCCAGCTCTAAAGTATTTAACAACTTTTTTCGTGACACAGCCTAATGTACATAAAGTGTACATTGCTCGAGTAACGAGTACGCAGAGACCGATTCCGCTCACCTCATAAATAACACTTAAACCAACAACACATTCACAACATGTTGTAAGCATCATAATATCGTAAAACTTTCCAATTAAATATAACGTGTAAAAATGTTGAGGGGATTTGTTACTACGCAACAACGTTTTTGAACTGATAGCAAATATAGGGCAATAGGGCATGTAATTAGATCTTATTATACCCTACGAATATCATCAAAGAACTAAAGACGTTATTTTACACTGAACATTTTCCCGATATTACGACGCCTACGGCGAGTTGTGAAATCACTAAATATTAGTTTTTTTTTATGTAGTACGATTCATTTGATTTTGAAAGGGCAACAAAATTCTAGTAAAAGTTTCTTGAGTGCGAATATTTTTATGAAGACAGGATATGTATGTAGATCACCTCAGAGTATATAAACATATTTTTGTATTCATTCATCCACAGTATTTAAAGACCCATAAAATCTCATTAAAACAAACCATTGCCGCGAATTAAATTAAATCACCCGACATAATTACCATGTAAACAGGCTAAAAATACCCACTTTCAATTTTACACATCACTTAATATTTTGAAAGCACAGAAAATATGTATCAGGCAAAAGCAAAACTATGCCAGTTTAATAGATATTGATATCAATATCAAAGCAGCTAATAATAATACAAAAAATTTATTTAAGTTATGCGCTAACAAAGAAGCGCCAACCGGCACTGTAGAGTCTACAGTGTAGACGATTTGGTCGCTATTAGTGCCAAAATTGATTTAGTTAACCCAAAAAAAAAACTGGCAGCGAATTTCGCAAAAACAAACCTGAATTTAAAAATATTTTTTGTTTTTTAATGCTGCTAGTTTAGTAATACTCGATACTACTAATTATGTACTAAATGATAAAACATGTTTGTGAAAATGAAATTTGAATTTTTTAATCTGTCATGAGAAATGGCTGAGCGCGATGGTCTATAAATTGAAAATTCAAAGCCTGAAAGCGTCTTAGACAACAGTGAATTGGTGAAGTGATAAAGCGCGATAGTAATACATACCTAGATACAATTAAAAATGAAAGCGTTTTTGGTAAGTTGAAGGCTGCTGGTGAATAATTGTTCGAATACCAACATTTTAATTCGAAAAATATTGAGATATGTATTCTTATTCATTTGAAAAATGTGTCACTGTGCTGAATTGCATTTTTGATTGAAATTTAAAATTGTCTTGTCAACGGCCACATTGCTTTCAACTATTAGTCAAACGATATCGGTATTCTCTATGTCTTGCAAAGCCCTTGCATGACACACGGATTGCATAGTCTGCAAAGTGTTACCGTCGGAAAACTGGTTCTACCGTCCAAACTGTGTACCTTGCAAGGGTTTTGCAAGACCTAGAGAATACCCTAATTTTGTTCTTATACGTAATTTATTTTACAGATTATCTTCAGTGTCTTGGCTTGCCTTTTTCTCCTGGTATCCGCAGCGCCAGCCGATCAACCCGGAGTACATTTTTTGAGTTACAGCAATGATCAGGATTTTGAGGCAATACAAAAACAAATCATCGGTAAGTTCACTTAGGTAATTGCCGGGAGTGCTTCTTATGGTCTGAAAATTAATTGTTGAAGTTAATCAACAGTCTCTACTTAAATAGGCTATCTGAATTTAGACCTAAGAGTTGCTGAATTCTAAAGTAAAATAAAAAAACGTAAATATGTATTTCGGAGTTGCCATATGCCAAAGTAAATCAAACATCGGTAAATAATCTGATTTAAAGTGCCATTTATGTTTTTAGAACGAGTATATGGCTAAATATTTACTAACCAAATTTTTACGATTTACCTCAACTCACCTTACCTCACATCAACTGAAATCTACTCAATTCACTTCATATCAACATCACAACTCATATCAATTCACCCTAATTCAGCTAAGCAAATTTTATTTCCGAAAATCCGGAAATAGTCCGGGGAATCCCGAATATCACGAAACAGTCCCCAAAAACACGAGTAGTCCCAAGAATACTGAAACATTCCCAAATAAATCTTCAAGTAAATAGTCCCGAAAATTCTGAAATTATTTATTTCTTTACTTGCATACTGACTAAGTAGCAAGTGTTTAGTATTTAATCATATCACAAGTACAAATAACTTCCCGGAAATTCTCTCGACGTCGCACTGATTCCGTATAGAGCCTGGCTAAATTTCGGTAACTGAGATTTTCTCAACAGTGCTAAAACTGTTTCTGGTATGGAAACTCTGCTACAGATAATTTATTCCGGCGCTCCGGTTGCCTTGAAACAAGTGTATCTTCTTAGTGCCTGGACTGGCTCCAGAATAGTTATTTCTCTTTAAGATAAACACTTTTGGATTTGGGAAGATTTCCTTAGCTGAGATACTTTTTAGCAGTTCCTAGGCTGGCAGTATGCTACAAAATCCTACCTGGGGTAACCAATTCTGTTGCTCGCAAGTTTTTTCTGGCATGGGTTATCGTGATTTCGAGAAGGCAAGCTCTGGTAGCCATACAACAATAAACTATCAGGGCACTGGGTATTTTCTCCAAAGCTAAACTTTCTGTACCAGAGGTTAGACTGTCTGTTGTATACCAGAATCCATCAGAGATTTTCATTTCTAAAGTTGGAGAGCTTTTCTGGAAGAAAATGTTCTCTCTTAGTCTCCGGACTGCTTCTGGCACTCAACACCTTGAATTGGCAACGGATCCTGGTGCTGGCTAGATATGCCTGACAATGATTTCCTTGTCACTTTTCGAAAAGGGTTTTTAGGTTGTTCTCTAGAATTACTGAAAATACCCAGTCTTATATTTTATATCAGGGACTGTATGGAAGCTTTAAATAGTACTTCGGCGACATCCATTTAAGAGAGCTTTTAAGTGAGAGCCTGTACTTTTAGTGTATAGTACTTACAAACATTAAAGTGTAAAAATGTGTTCAATGTGGACCAGCTGTTTTCGGTATCTGCTGCTAATACATAGTGCAAGGAAGTAAGGTAGAAATTCTTGCTAATAGAAGAGGTTTTTGGTCAGCTTATTGATTTTTTTCAATGGACCTATTTTTATACATTTCGGGTCCCAAGATCGGATACTAAATTACTTAGTATGATACCATACTATAACTGAATTCTAGTTAAAAGTCATGTATGTATATGTGAGCTAATCGCTTTATCGTAATTCTCTTTACAGCTCAGTACGAAAATCTTGGAGGCAGTTCGCAATTCCATGAAGTGCAAAGTGCCAGCGTGGTTCATCCCAATACATTGAAAATCAATATATAAAAGTCAAACAAATAAGCAAAGTTGTACGGTTGTGTTATAGCTCTATAAGAATTTTTATGTATACAAACGCATAAACATACGAGATAACATGGCTATGTAGCAGAGTTGTGAAAAATTTATATATTTTTTTAATGCATAGCATTTTAATGTTAATGTAAAAAATTAATGCATTTATTGCTAATGTTTTGTTTTTTTTTTTTTTGCATTTACAATACAATTTTTTAATGAATGCCATTGCAATAATTTATTGCATTAAAAGTATAACAAATATTAAAAACCCAATAACTAATTTTATTTTGAAGTAAAAAATCTTTGTTGACGTTAGGGTAGGATTTTAAGATCAAAAAAGATAGTGCCGGAAGTTAAGGCTGGTTTTCACTTTGCTTAATTGAATGGCATTTGGCGCCAAATAGGTAAAAACACATCGTCAAGTGGAACTAAAAAGCGGTTTAGTGATTGATTTAGATCAGAATAGGTCTTCAGTCGTGTCCATGTGCTGCTAAATTGGGTATCTCTACGTTTTTGGCCCATCGGTATGCATCAACAATCAACATAAAAATCTACAAAAGCACACTGAGTTGCGCGCACATTGCTTTTATTTTCATAAAACATCTAGCAATGTTTACAAGAATTTTTCAACAAATAAACATAATAGCATAAACCTGAAACAAGTATTAGTAATTATTGCAAGTCCTTACAACAGAAATTATTTATATTTCACTAGAAAAAAATTTTAATGGTTTTTTATAATGCAAAAAATTAAATAAAAAATTTTATGCATTACATTATTTTCCTAGCATTAGTTTGGATAGTTTAATGAAAACAAATTTCATAAGAATTGTATTTTTCAGAATTAATGCATTGACATTTTTTGCATTAAATTTCATAAATTATGTATTGCATTAATTTTTTACATTAACAAAATTGCTTTTAGTAGGTACCATCATCAGTGCATTAAAAAATTAATGAATTTTTCACAACTCAGCTATGTAGTAACTTCTTCTTAAATTTTACTTAGATTTTTGCTATCTGAAAGCAAACATGCTTTGTATTTTTTTGGAATATTCAAAATCTTGGAAGTGTCTTTAGCAAACCGCCATTTAGTAATATAAAACAAATGCAAAACAAAATCACTTTCTTGTAGAAAGCAAAATATGAGTACATATAAAAAATAAACAGCAAAAACCAATAAACATAAAAACCCCAAAATCTACATGTTGTTATTCCCTCGCACAAGCTAGAACTGCTTCCAGAAATATGTGAGCGAATGCAGGCAAAACATAATTTACTCAAAAGACGCATTTTCTGGCCGATAAGACAACAAGCTACAATCACGGATTTTGTACGCTGCCATCTTCAGTACATAACTAACTTCATAGTGGTGCGGTTTGCTTGTCATTGGGAAAGCGTTATTCTATTTTTAGTCGATTTCTTTACGCATAGCAAGCAGGCAATGTGCGTCAAGATAGTAATTGCCTTACTGGCCATCGCTGTGACCCTATGCCTAGTGGAGGCACAGAACCTCTACACACCCGCTCAACTGCAGCAGCAACAACGGAACGATGATTTCGAGCAGCTTCCGAAGCTTGTCACAGAATTCGAACTGGAAGTGAGACTAAATACAATGCCTATAAACTCTGAAGATCGACAACCAATTGTGTTGGTCAATTTGAATCATGTTGAGCAAGATAGAATAATAATCACAAGCCAAGCAGAAGAACAGCAGAATGAAAATCGTAGACAAGAGTTCAATGAACGTGAACGTGTGCGCGACAACAATCGTGAGTTTGTTAACATGCCCGAGCGTGTAATTGAATTCGATCGAGAACGTGAGCCATATCGTAGAGACCAAGAGAGAGGTCCGCCACCCAAGCAAGAATTCATAGCTAACATAGAAAGCAGGCCCGATCGCAATAGCGGATTCAATCGCGCCCCAGATCGCGACAACGATCGAGAGTTTGTTAGCGAATCCGAGCGTATAAGGGAATTCCATAGGGAGCAAGAACGTGAACCTTATCGTAGCGACCACGAGAAAGATGCCTCAACTAGGGAAGAATTCAGGGCAAAGCCAGAAAGGAAACCTGATCGCAACAGCGGATTTAATCGCGCCACAGAGCAGAGTGTTCATCGCAATAATATATTTAAGCAAGAAGTTGACGTAGAGCGGAAACCGCAACGCATTATTCCACAAGGACAAGAAGAGAAAAGTCATCGCCTCTGTGAAAGAAGTAAGTAAATACAAAGTAGGCGTAAAATCATGTTTTGTATACTTTAGGTACTACATACTTCTAATTTTATTAAAGAATATAATGAATATATTGCACGCATCTTTCGCAATGATGAGGAAATAACAGCAGATGCAAATGATTCAGAATTTGATGGTCGTGTATTGGCATCACCTGGAGAATATCCGCACATGGTAAGAAAAAGGAATATATGAATAGCTAGGTAAATAGTTTCTAAGAAAGGATCAGTCCAGCGCCTTCGTCTTGACCTGCGGGCTGTGTCGGTGGCACAGCCGCTAACCTTAAACGTAGAATACGGGATATTACTACGATCGCATTCAAGTTAAAAACGGTACATGAAATATTCGCTCTGTAGTTTACCATTGAGGTCTGTGGGAAAAATACGAAGCGTGTTTTTTATAATCTTTTAACCTTAACCTTCGTCTTAAGCTAAGTCTAAGAATACATTTTAGTCTTAAACTAATCTTAATCGTAATCTTAATCCTCTTCTTAATCTTAATCTTATTCGTAGAATTATTTTTAATCTTAATCTAAATTTTTTTCTTAATCGCAATCTTAACTTAAATCTTAATCATAGTCTTATTCTTAATCTTAATATTGATCTTAATCTTCCTCTTGAATGTAATCTTAATTTTAATCTTAACCGCAGTCTTATTCTTAATTTTAATGTTAATCTTAATCTTACTCTTAAATCTTATCCTCATTTTAGTAATAATGGTAATCTTGTTCTTAATATAAATTTTTATCTTCGTCTTATTCTTTAACCTAAGTCTAATCTTAATCCTTATCCTGATATTATTCTTAATCTTAATTTTAATTTTAACCTTAATCTTATTTTTAATCTTAATAATAACCTTATTCTTAACCTTAATCTTAATTTTTATCACAATCGTAATATTTTTCTTAACCTTAATTTTAATCTTAGCCGTAATCTTATTTCTAATATTAATTTGAATTTTATTATTACTTTTAATCTTAATCTTATTTTTAATCTTACCCATCATCTTTTTAATCTTTATTTTACTCTCTTCATCTTAATCTTAATCTTAACCCCTACCTTAATCTTATTCTTAACTTCAATTCTAAATTAAATTTTAATTTTAATTTTAATTTTAATATTAATTTTAATTTTAATTTTGATTTTGATTTTAATTTTAATTTTAGTTCTAATCTTAATTTTAATTTTAATTTTAATTTTAATTTTAATTTTAATTTTAATCTGAATTCTAATTTTAGCTTTAATTTTAATTTTAGTTTTAATTTTCATTTTAGTTTCAATTTTAATTTCAATTTTCATTTTTATGTTAATCTTAATCTTAATCATTCTACACCGTCCGCCTCGCTGTAGTTTTTTCGCTTCGTTTGAGCTCAGCGTCAAGAAGTGTCACTTCAAAAAGCATACACTTGTTCCCATGTATATTCGTACATATGTATAGTAGTTTTTTACAGCAGTCACGAACAGAAATATTATCTTGTTACGGTCAAAAAAAGGTCACATTTCACATTCAAATTACTTAATGGGCAAACCATGTATTTTTTGAAATCGGTATTTCATGACTACTCATGCTCGGTTACAAGTGTCGATACGTACATACATATGTAGTATATATGTATGTATTTCCATAGATTTGATTTAAAATATTTTCCAAATTTTTTGCTAACATTATTATTGCTTGAATTCTAGAATGACAAATTGTTTTTAAAATATTTTCTAATAAAACAAATTGGGATATTTTTTTACCATTTAACGCATTGTGAACTTTCTCACTTACATTCAGACAGCGCTGGGCTTTGAGAGAGAAGACAAAACATATGATTACAAATGCGGAGGCAGTTTGATAAGTGAAAATTTCGTTATTACAGCGGCACACTGTACCAATATAACGGGGTAAGCTCTATGATATTTCGCGTAAATTTGTGATTTTTTAATGCAAAAAATAGTCGAAATGAACTTAGTCGTGAGTTGCGTTGCAGTTGCATATTATTTAATACACATGTATATATGTATGCACGTATATTTGCACTTTCGCAAAATTACCACGATTTCATAAATAGTCATAGTACATATGTATGTAATTTCCCACATTTCAGGGAAGTACCTACAATAGCACGAATTGGTGATATAAATCTTATGGTAGATGAAAAACATTTGGCGCCGCAAATATTTCCCATACGAAGAATATACACACATCCGCAATATGACGGTGTTACTAATTACAATGACATAGCGTTGTTGCAGCTGAATACGAGCGTTGAGTAAGTACCTAAGCTGCATGCATACATATTTAGTTAGTAGCGATGGAACTTTCTTTAAATTCTTTCATATTTGCTCAACTTGCACGCAGATTCACAGAGTTTGTTCGCCCAATAAAACTTTGGACAAAACCTAAATTACCCCTCATTACTGCCTTTGCCATGGGCTATGGCGCCACCTCATTTGCGCGTGCGCCAACACAACAACTCACCGACTTCAATATGACTCTTATAGCGAATGATGAATGCAATCAGCTTTTGCCACAATTGGATGAGGTGCCGCGTGGCATAATTTCAAGTCAAATTTGTGCTGAAGATTTTGTAATGCATCGCGATACTTGTCAGGTGAGATAGACTGGAGGAAAGTTGCATATATCCAAATTGCATTTTTGTTTTAATTGTCTTCCAGGGTGATTCCGGCGGCCCGTTGCAGTACAACATCAGAGGTAAACGACGCAGAAATCGAGTGCATTATCATCTAATCGGCATCACCTCGTTTGGGCTATTATGCCGCAGTCCAAATCCGGGTGTTTATACGCGCATATTTTCTTACCTTGATTGGATTGAGCGCACGGTCTGGAATTCGTCTTAAAGCTCAATGCGTCTAGACTTAGTTTACGTAACTTAACTTAATTTAATATTTTGGCCAACCTGTTATATGTGAAAATGTGTGTTGGCGGTTAGTTAAAACTTAACTTACCGTAAGCTACTTAAGAACCTGTAGATTTTAGATGCTTACCCTACAAGAAAGGACTTTTTTTTCTGACCTCTTCCTTAACACACTAAAATATACACCAATACACAGAAAAATATTTGTAAAAATAACCTTAGGAAATACAATAAGTAGAAAAGAAACCTTTTAGCAGTGCTGGTAAAATCCCCATGTGAGAAAGGGACGAATAGTCACATGTACACAAAAGAACTGGTCAGGTTTTTCATATTACCCCCGAATATCTGATGAGGAAATTGCAACATTATTGCATCAGTACTGACCGTCAGGTGACCGGCCATTTGCCAGTAAGATTTCTTGTAGGGTAGTTTACGACCTTACGGAATTTGAGAGCGATTAGAGAATTAGGCTTGCCAGGTTTTCGGATTTGTATTTCTTAAAAATAAATTATGCAAATTTCAAACAGCTGAATTAGAAAATACAAAAACAAAAGATTTTCGCTTCTACTTAAGATGACGTGTTGAGTAATTATTGCCGAATTATTACGGTAAGTTAAATTAAATTAAGTCTAGACTAACAGAGCTTTAAGACATAAAAATTTGCTACGAATATTTAATAAAAAATAGCTTTGACTTATACGCAGTGATTAAGTGTTAACTGTTGAAACAGAAGAGTACAAATACGAGTATATAAAAATAGTTTTAGTGCTAAATAAATGTCTATTTTAACTTATGAAAATACATAATTTTTGCCACAAGATCGCCTTTACACATATTATATGTATGTCAATATTTTACCACAAAAAGAACTTAAGAGCAAATCGTTTGGGCCTGTTAGAAAACTTAAATTCAATTAAAATTATAAGTTCTACAACATTTTACAATATATGATAGATGTGAAGCGAACCACAATAAATAACTTTTTATATATTTTTAAAGTAATTGCCACCTCTTTAAAATTTAAATTAAATATTATTTAGAAATTAAATGAAGTACGATGGTATGGACGCGAAACAGAAGAGGCTTATGAATACTTCGCTCAAAGTTTTCCCTGTATTTTTATATGGGAAAAAAAAACTTTTCGTTTTGGTAATAAAGAAAATTTGCAAATTTTTCAAAAATTTGTTGCCTTAAAATGTTCAAAATTTGTTGAATTTATATAAAATCTGTATACGAAAATATCTCTATTGCTCCAAATAGTCAATATCCCGAAAATAAAAGTTATATCTGCAAATCATAAACTGCTGGAGCACTTTTAAGGCTCAAAATTGACCCCAAAATAGGGCAATATTTACCGTTGTTTCTAGGACAGACATTACTTACATAACTGTATCTGTCGATAGGCTAAGAATTTTATCTGTGAAATGCCACACATTTCTTTGAAATCGCTTCATTAGTTCTCGTGCAAGAAGCGTTTTCGTGAAGCTCTAAAAATTACAACTACAACATTTCAGCATAGCCTCTATACCGTAAGGTAAGACGTATTCTACGTCAAAAAAGATTGTGTTGTGTTAAAAACCCCGCTTAAGAAAAAATAATACAAACCATTGTCTTAATTTTCACCTTTTTAAAATATATACCTCTAAATAGCTAAATTAAATTAAAGTTTGTACCAGACTTAGATTTCTACTTGAATCGCCTATCAAATAGATATATACATTTGTTTGTAGATATATGTCTGTGTTCGTATGGAAAAGTAGCTTATGTCGAAAGGCTGGCTTTAG